GCGAATCTCGAGAATGACCTTACATCAAATCTACGAAGGCTAAAATTTTAGACATGTCGACCACATAGTTTCAGCTGGTTTGAAAGGGCTCACTTCTATGAAGCATTTAATGGTATTACCTGTTTCCATCTTCGGAAAAGGGTGGTATTGCCATAGTTAGGCCAAGTTAACGACTGTCGTAATGAAAACGGCGATGCAGTCGCAACTGTCCTCGAGCAAGGAGATTCCCAGGGTTGTCTCCACGTTGCCCGTTGTTGTAACCTCGGCATGATGTCGAATGTTCAGTCACTTCTGCTAAACGTAGTTGTTAGATGAAAACTTTTATTGGTCCTAACGTTTCAACCTTCTCGACTTCTTCAGAAGGCCTGAAAATGGCTCAAAGCTTTTAACACGTTGGCGACATTGCGTCCCACTGCTGGGACGCACCTTTTTTGCCGCGTGGGACATTGCGTCCCACTGCTGGGATGCGGCATGGGTAAAAAACCAATTTGAAAACGTTTCAAATTTTCAACAGCTACATATTGTACAGGAAGGCATTGTAGAATATACAGTAGCTGTTGTATCATTGGGAGTATTTTACGGAGGATACAAAGGAAAGTGATTTCCTTAGGGAAAAAAGGTAATTTTTGGATAAATAGAACTCAAGCTCCACATGTAGATAGCTAACGTGATAAGGTAACTTTCTTCTTTACAATAGCAGGTATCTGTGATCGATCCAATTTACTGCCTTTGGCGCCAAAAATTCCTTTTTTTGCGACCTCTTTCCCACGCTCCGCGTGTATGGGGCGGGAGTATTCCACGAAAATTAAGGGTTTAAATTGAAAGTAAAAAAACAGCAAAAATTTACTAGCTTCTGCATTGAATACTAGTCCTTTTGCAAGTGTTTTGGTGTGTAAACGCTCTAGCATTCATGCGCATTCCTCAAAAATAGGGAAAAATTGCTTCGTCCCACGCGGCAGACACGCGAAAAGGCGCCTTGTCGCCAATGTGTTAATGGTTACCTACCCGACCAAACGCCCTCCCCACTCTAGCGTTTTCGACCTGTTTCCCGAACGCTTCCAAACAGCCCGTGCTAAAAATGAGTGCTAAAAACTCACCAAAGGTCTCACCGTGCGGAGCTTAGCTCGTGCTGTGTGTCAGTAGAACTAGTGAGGAGTCTCACTGTGTCGCATAAGTCAAAATTGTCAAACGATCCGTCTTTACTTGCTATACTGACACAGCTAAGCTCCGCACTGTGAGACTTTTGGTGAGTTGTTAGCACTCATTGCCGGGTTGTTCAAAAGCGTTCGGGAAACGAGGTCGGAAACGCTAGAGTGGGGAGGGCGTTTGGTCGGGTAGGTAACAAATTAAAAGCTTCGAGCCATTTTCAGGCCTCTGAAGAAGACGAGAAGGTCGAAACGTAGGCCAATAGAAGGTTCTCAACCGTTCGTTTGGCAGAAGTAACTGAACATTCCAGGATTCATAAATTGTCAAACCTTCAACAAGAACTGTCAAGTCGTTCCCAAACTTCAGAATGTGGTGGGAGGTGACAGCGGTAAGCGTGCCCACATTCCGGAGATAGAATTTAGGGTGGAATAGTCAGGCACTAATGGTAAGTCCGTTTCGCACTGGCTGATTGAAAGCGGCTCGTCAAGGAGGATAGAAGCACTGATTCGTAAATAGGCTAGGCCCTGTAGGTCAGTGTTTTATCTCACGAAAATGAGCCTTGTGTACCATCAAAATGCGTCAGGCCCATTGAATTCTACTCCCCTTACACTCCTTATCCCTGAGATGGGTAGGCGTGGCATACGAACATGGCATAGGATGGGTTATTCGCGGGATGTTTCATTGAGGCAGCTGCCATCTTGTACTGTGTTGGACAAAACATGTATACAACTGCTCCAAAAAATATCTCACGAAAACCTTGGCTGCCGCCACGTTCACTTCAAATGCGCAGACACGCCTACCGCATCTCAGGGATTTCGAGTTTACTTGAAGAAAAGGCTGGTCCAATCAACTGAAGCCTCACGAAATTGGTCATGTCCCACATGAAAAAGCCTGCTTACCGGGAAATTGCCGTATTAGCTGAAAACTTTTACCGCACATGTTTTTCTCGTTGCGCATGATCAGATTCGCCTAGCCGCCATTTGTCCCTGATCCACGAGTAAAAAAATCAGTGACCAGAAGGAGCTGAAAAGTGCTATGCGCTGCTCAGACTAGCTGCTGCCAACGTTGCCGACGTCTTTCGGAATTTATAGTCTCGTGCAACCTTGGAATATTTATTGATCATAATGGTCTTATGGTTCATATTCATGAACAGTGGAGCTTTGTGAAGTGTTTCATAGTGTCATAATTCTTAAAATCTTTCACATTTTCGGACTGCTACAGGAAGCCCAGCCCACTATGGGAAGTTCCGCCCATTTCGTAGGAACCCCGCTAAACTTTGAAAAATGCCCCGAATCAGCAAGATAGAACCTGGCCTTGTAGCTAAGAGGGTTACTCCTTCACTCGGAACAAAAAAAGCCATTTTCGAACCTTTTTCCAATCAAATTTATCTCAATAGGAAGCAATGCTGATCAGTAACTTGTACACCACCTTCATCGACATTTTGTTCCCAGAAACTAAGCGAATACTGGTTACCTCGTTTTCGGAAGCTTTGCGGTTGAGTGCCATGAAAGGCAGCTATGTTGTGTTTGAGGTGCTTTCAAAATTGTATTTTTTACCAGAAGAACGGCTGCTGAACGATCAGTTGAGATGGCACTGAGAAGGAGCTGATTACGATGTGGTACGCTAATAATCGTAGCATTGAGAGGAAGAAATTTTTACGGTAATTTAACGAACGCGTCCTCACATACACACTATCGTTTTCCTATTGGATTGATAGGAATGAACGACCTGTTTTGCCCTTTCTGGAGGGTCAGGCCCCTGACGCTGAGTGGTTCACTTACCATTAGAGACAGTTCTTTCATATTTAGAGGTATGATAAGCACTTGATGTTGGCAGCTAGTCATTAATTGAGGCAAAAGGTGCGACACATCCTGTATTTCAAAAACGGGTGAGGGGTAAATTTAGTTCCAACGTTGTTCAACCAGTTCATGTGGTGGGAGACAGGTTGTGGACAGTACCCACATGTTCCCCCATGAGTATCGGTCAGCTCGTGAGAAACTTTTGACTGAAATCCTATACTTTTCCGAGAGAATGAGGACCTCCACCATTCCTGCTTTCGCAACAATCCAATGTAGCGGCTAGATAGTGAGTTGACTGGTATTACCAACTGGCTTTGATCAGGGAACGCAGCAGGCCCATGTCTAAGGCAGATGTCCTCCATGAAGGGTTGTCTCCCAGGTAGAGTAGGTGATTGGAAATCGACAGTGATCCAACAAAAGAAGGTTTCCACATCAAACTCGTAAAAATATAAGAAAATAACATGAAAGGCTGCAAATGTCCCAGCATAACTTGTTAGAATGGGGCTGTGAAGTGGACAGAAATTGTTGTTAAGGATTACGCCTTTGCATCCATTTCCTACACGACGGATATCTGAAGCAATCATCAATCTAAAGTTGTCTTCGTAAGAGATGGTACACACAGTGGGCATGCTGGCGCGGCCTGTGAACTAACCGTATCACTCCCCTCGTTAATTTACTCTGTTGTGCAGTCAAAGGCACCCTCCGCGTCCATATGATTTACAGACGCCCTCTCTGGATATGGTGGTCATGTCCGCAAGCACAGAGGACTTACCACTATCGCGGCTCAAGCATACGTTGCGACCCG